TGTTTTATTCCCTTAATCATTGAGATTGACTAGAACATAAAATTGTTTTTTAAAATAAAAACTATAAATTATGCACAATTTGCATACTAACTTAAAAATTATTTTCTTTCAGTAATGCCTATATATATGATAATTAAACAGACACTTTTCATCTCATGTAATTACATTGTTTTTTTAACCTCAATATAGCCCAAACCAATAATCCATCATTATTTTAACACAGTGTTTCTTTTAGTAAGATAGATGAACAACTCAGCTACTTTTCTTTTGGCAAAGGGTGGTATTGGGGATTGAATTCATGGCACAGTACCACTGAATTACATCCCTAGGTCTTGTACTTTTTATTTTCAGACAGGGTCTGTCTAATTTGTAAATGCCGGCCTCAAACCTGCCATCCTCCTGCCTCAATCTCCGAAGTTGCTAGGATTACAGTTAATTACAGTCATGCACTACTGCACCCAGCTCAGCTACTTTTAATATAATCACTTTTTATAAATATAAGGAGTCCTTCAATGTACTGATATGAAAAAACAAACTCTAAATCATGCTGTAAGGTAGGGGGAAAGCAAAATTAAGTATTTTTGCTATAATATATCTGAAAAAATTAAAGGAATTCTGCTTGTATATTCAAAGAATGTTTCTCGAATGATACTTAAAGAACATGATAACATTGCTTGGTTCTAAGAAATGAAATTAACAAAAAATTTCAAAGAAAGCAAATGGCCACTGGCACCATATCAGCAAAAAAAATAAGAAGGTAAAATGATTTTTCAGGGAACTAAAAACATTCATCCTAGAAAAAGCATTTCCCTATTCCAAATTCATAAGCATATAAACCCAAGGATTAAAAAAATAAAAGTACCTAGAAGTCTGATACAAATTCTTAGCTTTCTATAAATAAGTTAAGCTAAACTTTTACAGCAGATAGACATTCATATTTTCTTCCAAAAACTAAATTATAATATTTTATATTAATGAAAGAAATATGAATATCAATTTCAAACATTTTCCTTATGCTTCTTATTGAAATCTAATCTTAGCAAAAGCCATTTAACATACATAATTACTAAAAGTAAATAAATAAAGGTGTTAAGATTAGCTTTCATAGCCCAGTCTGAAATGCTTAAAGTAATCTTATTTTATTATTAAAACCCCCAAAACTCCACAAATCAAACTCCATTTGATTATAGGAATAGAAACACTACAGGAGGCGCAAATAAAGCTTTTTAAAGCATATTACTAATTATTGTATAGTTTAAGATAAACTATGCTATGATGAGCATAAAACAACCAGCTTTCTTCATCCGTATACCTTGAGAAACTGTTTATACATTAAGGTAAACTTTTCTTTGTGGTAGGATATCATTCCTAATAATTCTAAATGAATGTATGTCTGTATAGAAATAGTTTGAATGTAAAAGGGAGTCAACACAATTTTTCTGAGAACCATTGCAAGAAAATTTGTTAGCCAGGAATTGAATAAGAGTGGGCAGTTGCTATTCCCAAGTATCCAAATTTAACTAGTTCCACATCAACTGAATGTATTGACTCTACATTCCACTTACTTCTAAGCTTGTAAATAATAGTCCAGTTGACTAAAAAATTCCTTGGTATTCACAGGCTACTGGTTCTAGGAACCTCCTCAGACACCAAAAGCTGTAGATTCTCAAGTCCCTTATGTAAAATGGTATAGCAGTTGTATAAAACCTATGAGCACCCCCTCCTGTATATTTTAAATCATTTCTAGATTATTTATTATTTACAATACCCACTTAAATGTAAATGCTATATAAATAGTTATTACATTATATCATTTAGGGAATAGTGACAAAAAATCTGTACATGTTCAGTACATATACAAGTTTCTTTTTTTTGGATATTTTCTACCTGAGGTTGGTTAAATCCATGGATGTGAAACCTGTAGGTATAAAGAGCTGACTGCATAATTTCCAGTCAGGAATTTTGTCCACAATATAAGATACTACTATGTAGTCAGTTGAATCATTCATGCTATAGATTATTGGTTGAGCAAGAAGAATAACCAGAAAAACTGAACTAAGTATAGTACAGTTTGGCCCAATATTTGGAAAGAAATAGATTGAATCTTGACCAAGTAGTTGCCAAAGATTGTGCTCAAATACACCATTTTGTGTGGTTCTATGGTAAACAAAAAAGATGAATTCAAGCAAATTCCTTTCAATGAACTGGTAAATTAGCACCTACTTAAAAAAAAAGTCTTGATTTCTACAAGTTGAAACAAACAAAAATTGACCAATTTTCTAATATTTGGTAAGAAGAGGCTGGTAGAAAATCTTAATTAGGTCCATAGTCCTTATTAAACACTGCTAACTTTACCACTGTAATGTGAAGTGCATACTGGGAATCATTTTCTCACTCTGAATCAAACTCATGAAAATCTTCAGATTGAGAGGGAGATCTAAATAAAATACATCCTTTGGTAATAAATGCAAGGTAATACTATAAACACTAGTTGATAAGTATGTACCACTACATGGGATTTGATGAAAGTACACTGTGTTTTATTTTCATATGAAAGATATCTTCAATTTTTATACTTTTTGTTAAAAAATAAAAAATATTCTTATTAAAAAGGAAAACAACCCCAAAATCATTTCAGACAGAATTTTCATCATTAAAAAATCAATCTCAAATATGAATATTTTAAAATTTAAATTAATATGTATAATAGATATTATAAATTGATGATTCTTAGAAGAATTTTCAAATATTGCCAATTATATTTAGTAATTTTATGTGTCTAATTTATTGATGAATGTAGTAAAAATCACATATCATATTTGTGTATTGGGTAACTGAAGGGGTAATGTTACTTTTCCTGTGCTATAGAGAAGACCTTCATCAAAAAATTCTATCCATCTAACTAAATATATATACATGTATATATATATATATAAATACAAATATATAAACATATATATATGTAGATACATATATATATGTTTATATATTTGTATTTATATATATATTGTCTCTGTTAATGTTTGCAAATATATTTACATGACTTGGAATATACATCTTAGCTAATTTAGTGATAGAACTAGTCAGTTTAATAAACCTAAATATGGTTGCTGGGGATGTTTAACAAGTACCTAAAATAAGTGTGAAAGCAAGCGGGAATGGCAAGAGAAGGTAAGGTAGGAAAGGATGGGATACCAACATGAGAGAGGGTAGATGAAAAGAAAAGTGTGAAAGTACACATTTGCCTTGCTTTTCAGTTTTCCTAGGGCCTCAATAAGTGGCAAGTACTTTGATTTGCATGGAAAATAACTTTCTAGGTGGCCTTCATTAGGAGTGCTATCAAGTACTGGTACCTTTTTTCTCCTTTTCCTTTTGTGGTTATGTTCACATAGTATTTTATAATTTAAAAAAAAAATACTGTGACTCTTAAAAGCCAGAAGGAAATTAGGAAACAATTTACTTTAAACAACCCCTTATTTTATTGATAGGGGAACTGAGGTCCAGAGAGTCTATGAATTATTAATGGCAATTCTCTTTACTTTCTAATCTATATAAACATACTGGTGTGACCAAAAGGTTTAGAAATACTGTATTTAATATCAGTAACAGCACAAGACAAATACACAAAATGCTTCAAAAGCACAAATTACAGAAAGGAACTCTCCATTTAGAACAGCTAGTTATCTATTCTGATGTTAATAACAAATCCTGAATTAAAAACAAAAGGCTTTAAAAATGGATTAGGGGAAAAAAATCACTAAATAATGAAAGTGTGAACATATGTAATCACCACAAATACACAAAGTATATTCAAAGTACTTACCACATACATATAACATCTTGAAGAAAGTCCACTAAATAATAAATATAAATCTCTCTTAGTATTTCTCCCAACTTTATTTCTACCTTATTTCATTTCAAGAACAAACTCTATGGTAAGATGGTAGGAAAAGGATACATCTACTTAGTTCAAATTCCTACTACCCTTTTATATGAAATATCTATAAAATCAATTTCACTGCTACTTCAATTTAAATGATAATTCTCTCTTATATGCTTGGTTGATATAAAAATAGGAAATTCAGGTTATTAAGTTTGATATTTAATCTTATACTACTTACTTTCTATGATTATTTCTGTGACATCATTTGAACACATTCAAGCATATTGTGTCAAAGTATTTAATTTTAAAAACTTGAAATCCCAGATACAAATATGTCAGGCAAGTTCGCTGCTGCTGAGCCACAACCCCTGCCCCAACATAAATATTTTTCATCTGAATCAACTGTATATGTGCTTCACAAATCTCTGGTAGAATAGAACGTGACTTTACAAATGGCACTTGGGCAGCCTTTTTAAATTTTACTAGTTAAGTACTGATTTCAATATGAATTAGGGGACAAAACTACACATGACTTTTTATTTTAAAAGTGAATCAGGCTTAAAATGTATTAATAATATTACAGGCAGGAGGTGAATATGATAAAACTTAAATATCTAAGGTACAGGAAAACTGTCCTACATAACTAACACTTCTGGGAATGAGCTGGAATAAACGCAAGTGAAAAAACTGAGGAAAATTCCACATTAAACTATATTTTATTTTCTATTTTACTAATTTTATTTTCTATTTTACTATTTTCTATTTTACTAATTACCTTATAAAGTAAGTAGCATAATAAAAAGTTATTTCAATAGAAATTGCAAGTATTTAATAATATCACTGAAGAAAGCCTATTAAAATCAGCAGTTTTAGAAGTATAACTCAACTCTAACTTCCTATTACTGATAAAAAGTTCCTAATTCATTTAATTGGGGGCACACAGATCAGTAATATTCTATGTAATAATATATATACTACATGCTATACACTATCATAGTACTATAATTGCTTAACACATTCTTGCCCCAGTCCAGTCTTTGTGGTTCTCTTCCCCTACAGAGGAAATAATGTACAACAGAAGTCATCAAGAAGCTAAACTGACCAAATGAATACTTACTGTTGCTGGGGAGGCCCGAGTAGTGTGTGTCACTGAGTGACCAGAATTCTCCATTGAATTGCCAATCAGATAGGTTCCTCCAGAGCTGCTGATGAGTTGACCTCCTGTGACACCCATCTGGATCCCACCAGTACCCACCATACTGTGGGAGGAGACCACGGTAGTCACCTGTGCAGAACTCCCTTGAGTATCAAAGTAATTTCCTCCAGTGTTTTGGCTGTACATCTGTGTTTCTGTGTAAGGATAAGTTGTTGTTCGGCTTTAGAAGAAGAAGAAGAAAGGAGAAATTTACTAGCTGATTTATATGATCTGTTTAATTTATCTTCTAATATGGGTCTATTTAAAATAGACAATTTAGTCTTTGGAATATGACAAGTTTTTCATTTTTGTAAGAAACTTAATTCCTGGAAATAGTTGGGTGTATTTTCCAAATTAAAGGTACATTTCTTTAAAAGGTATCTCAGCACCTTTCTATACTTTAGGGGGTTGGCTTTCTTCAGCTGCCTATCATGGGCATATAAATAAGCTCTGTTGTTAACTTCACTCAAAGGAATCTTGCTGATGGATTTTTTCACTTCCTTATAAAACCATCTGCCAGGCAGGCACAGAGATGCACACCTGTAACTCCAGTGGTTAGGGAGGCTGAGGCAGGATGATCACAAGTTCGAAATCAGCCTCAGCAACTTAGCAAGATCCTTAGTAACTTAGTAAAACGCTCAACATAAAAAAATTTTAAAAATGACTCAGAGGTAAAACACCATCCCACACACCTGGGTTCAATTCCCAGTTCCAAAAAACAACAACAACAACAAAACCAATCCAAACAAAAAACCCTTGCAAACCCAGTTTTAGAAAAACAGCTGTGTCATGAATGGAGGCTGACAAGTAAACTTTCTACATCTCTTCACTTTCCTGAATGACTCCTAATACCCCTCCATGAATAAGGTAGCTTGCATGAATCTCCTTCTTACTACCATAAGGACCTTGAGCAAAAACAGTTTTCCCATCTTGGACCCAAAATCCCTATCTAACATCTCTTTCTTCATTCCCAAGCCTCTCCATTATGAGATAACTATGCACCCCAACCCCCTTCTTGTTCTCACTTTCTGCTTTCTAACAACTGTGGTCAAGCTTCTGACCCTAGTCTTTTATTTAAATTGCTTTTAATAAGGTCATTTGTGACCAACTCTAAATATCAAGCTCCTGTCAGCCCTCATCTTTTTTTAACCAATCTGTAGTATGACATTGTTGATCACTCCATATTGCCCTTTTTCTCTTTTTTTTTTGTTCTGATTTAACTTATTTTTCATTTTCAATTGACTCTAACTTACATTTTAAGATGAATTTCCTTTTAATTTTATAATACTTAAATGTTCACAGAAGTTACAAAAATATACAGAAATACAAAAATGTACAGTCACAAAAATATAACATATTATGTTTTAAAAATTCAAATACAAAATTAAATTCCCCAGTTCGTGCTATTCTCTTTAATTTCACATCCCAGAGCTAGTCACACGTGACAGTATGGCATGCACGTTTTCAAACAGTTCCTATACTTCTGTTAAGGCTTTTCTATCTTAACCACTCCTGTCCCTTAGTTTCAAAGGCATTTTGTTTCTACTTTTATTTTTTATCTCCATTTTCCTGGCACTTTATTTTCTGAGGTTCAGATTTTTATGCTTATTTTAAGTTATACCATTGCCTTATCACCTACTACATAGCAGATGCTGTTCATAGTAAGTAATCATCAGAGCTGATATCTCTGCCTCCTTTATTTTCTAGTTATATATTAAGAATTTTAAATTTGAGTTTCTAACAGCCAATCAAAAGTTATTTTTATTAGGAAACCCCACAATATATGGGCAGCTTCATATGTAAAATCTAAAGTATGATGAGATTACTTCTCTGTTTTGCTCTTCTATAGTTATCCTCTCAGTAAGCAGCACCACCATCTTCAGTTTAAGAAAATAATGCTGATTCTTCCCTCACTTAGAAAGACATGAATCACAAAGTGCTATCAATTTTACCTTCTAAATAAAATTCAAAATTTCCAATTCTCTTTTTTCTTCTCATATTCACTGCCTTAATTCATAATGTTCTCTATTATAACTGCTTATACTTGGTTTCCATTCCACGAATTGGGCTCTCTTCCAATCTACTTCCAACTTTGCTGCTCCAGTTTTGTTTCTACAGGAATTTTGTAAAATGCAACTGTGGAAACAAAATTTTACTTGAAAATCTTTCCATGATTCCCTCTTGCCTTCAAAATTCTCTCTTTCCTTCAGAAAATGTTCAAAAACTTTGACAGATTTATAAAAAGCCTGAGAGTCTGATGCCTGCATATTAGGACACAGTTCTAGCCACATTCTTGAAGGCTTTTTTCACTAGTATTATAATGACCATTTTGCTCATGCTCCCAAAGCGTGATTTTTCTCTTGCTTCTGTTTTACTACATATGGTTTCCTCTGCCCAGAAGGTCTTCATATTTCTCTTCATCATAATCATCCTTAAACTCTCATCTTAAGCTACTTATTTTGAATTATTTTCTGCATGCTTTGTTTTCCATTATCACTCCTCAGAGTGATGTTATATTTTGTTTTCTGTATTTTTCTAACACTGTGTATTCCGGAAATACAACTCTCAATATGCTTATTCTCATAACTTTGTATTCCCATGAAATTTTTACTTCTTCCCATCTGTAATCTCAATACTTAATATGTTGCTGGTGTACAATGAGTACATCACATGGTCAAAAAATTAAAATATGATTCTATTTAAAGTATACTGGATATAATAACCAGTTCATACATTTCAATAATACAAATTCTTTTATGTTTGTTAAAACATGAGAAAGCATGCCTAAATTTTAAAGATTTCTGTATTTTTAAGCCATTGTAATGGCTATAATTTACAGTTTGAATATTAGTAAGATTATAATGGTGTTCAGAAAGTACTTCATATTGGATAATATTAATCCTTTCCAGAAAGCACCATAACAGCTTCAGGTACTTATTTTAGTTTGCGGTGATAATAGAAACAAAACTCTAGAGAACATTCTTTTAACAGATAAAAAAAAAGTCATTTAAATATGTATGTATGTGTGTATACATTTGTTTCACCATTGCTCTATTTTCTGGAAACCTCATTTATTAAGTAAAATAACCATGTTGATTTCAAATTTACATAACAAGGAAATGAGGCCATTTTAATTTATGCCCACATAATACAACAGTGGCCTCATTTAACTGTGCTTAAAGTAACACAACCTGATGTTGGTATTTAAGTATAGTCAAATAAGTTGTACAGATAGATATAGGACAATAAATACTTTGAAAGATATAGCACACTGTGATGACTTTCTTTTCAATATTCCAAACAGAAAGAATAAGTATACCTTTTAACAGAAGGTAGATTTTGCAAATAAAAAATACAATAATAACTAATGGTAGCTCATATTTATTGACCATTTACTATGCAACTGACTATTCTATGTGCTTTTCACAAACTGACTCATTTAATCTTTATGACTACTCTTTGAAGTAGGTATAGTTATGATTCTTGTTTCATATACAAGCTGAATAACTGCAGTTTGGGTAGGTTAAGAAGCTTTGTACAGAGCACACAGCTGATGAACCATGGATTTGGAATCTGAACTGAGCCCACACTCTCAATTATTTCATAACATAAAAAAAACTTTAACATTTTATGCATGTCAATGATACATGAGAACAAATACTAAGGAACAGCCATAACAGGTGGTATATAGGGCATATGAATTTTCTGTTGCTATTTGGTACTTCCTGACCCCTTAACTCACTGTTTACTAGCACCTAACTATTCCCTCTTCTCACCCAGAATTCTCACCCATGCTGATGATGCCCTTGTGGTGAAAAAGAATAGTTGGATAAGGCAGAGCCAACTGAAAAGATATTTACCACCACACAACTGAATATTAGAAGTTCTATAATCATGGAATTTCCACACCATTATAGGAGAAATATCCCAAGGGATTTAAATCACTCTATCTTTCCGGCCTGCCCTTTTTATGTAATTATTTCTTGGTGAACAAAGTAATACAAATGCATCACAGAGATATGTATAAACTCTATGTAACCCACTACTCAGTATAAAAATGTAACAGTAAAAAACAAACTACTTAATTTTCATACTTCCTTCTAGCTGGATGTGATTCATGAGCTAGAAAAATAACCAAAGAACAGCAGAAGAAAGTAAGTTGCTAAAGAGCATGTCCAATCTATAAACTATCACCATTACTCCAATATTCAATCATGGAGGATAGGACTATGAAGAAAGTTTGGCTACTGCATAAACACAATTCAGGCTAAAGACTGGCAATTTCTAAAGAATAAAAAAATTATGTCAAGAAATGAAGTGTCATGAATTGTCTGAACTTCGCTTGGACAAAAATACACTTGGAGATTTAAAACACTGGGTTGAATAATAGAGGCAGACATGATTTCTTTAGTCACTGTTCTTTAAAGTTAAGAAAGCCAGCTTTAATCCATTTATTGGAATCATTTGAGTCTGAGCTGTAGTCATGCACAAGCATCTCCTAAAAGACTTTTCCATATCTAAAAGTGCTTTCAGCTCCTGAACAAAAACTGAAGAATTTATTTTTAAAAAGAAGTACCAACAGCAAAAGCAAGTAGTTCCTACTTAGGTAGTAGAAATAAGATTCTTTAATTCTGACACATCAGATCAGCTTGTTTTTCACATTGTATATATTTAATACTCCTTCATATGAGTTATTGCTTGCACACTATTTCCCCTAGAAATCTCTAAAACATATGTTCAAGAAAATTACTCAATTTTTGGCATATCAAATTGAAAGCAGCTAACTATTTATGGACTATATATTCCTGAAATAGCTAAATCCTAAGCAATTTTGTGCACATTTAAAAGATGCTGCTGTGTTCATTTTGTTTTATTGATTTCCACAGACTGTCATGAAAATAATGTGTCATATTGTTTCTATAGTAGAAGAGAAATCGTTCCATTGTTTCTCAAATGTATCCAGTAATGAATGTGAACACACAGATATGTGATACTTGCTGACAGAAGCTTCTTCAAATCTAACTCTATTATAAGGTTTTATGTAAATTTCAGAACTGTGATCCATTTACTTCAGTAAATTAGTGCTGCCTTCATCCAATCATGCTTTAGCATATACCTAGTCTAAGCATGACCCTGAATATTCTCTGCTTACTTATTTATTATAGCCAATCTTTCTGCTTT